TGGTCTTGGTGAAGATTATCTTCTCTTCATGGTTTTGGGGGTTCCGGTGGCCTTGTTGGTCTTGGCGGTCCCGGTGGTCTAGGTGGTTCCTGTGGTCTTGGTGATGATTGGGCGGTCTAGGCGGTGTTGGTGATTTTTTTGGTGGTCCGGTCTTGGTGGTCTCCGTGGTTGTGGCGGCCGGGAGGCTTAGGAGGGCATCTCTAGAATTTCATCCTGCCATTAGAAAACACGGCTACTAGAAATGGAGAAGAAGATAATATTTATTGCCGTCAAAAACAACGTTTAGAATTAAGAGAACAATTCCGAAGATTAATTTTTGGTAGGTTTTGTGTAGAATTAGATGGTGGAAAGTTATAGCGAAAACAAAGTGCTAAGAATCTTAAAGGTAAACCTACCGTCAAAAAATACGATTTCTAGAAGAAGATTAAAACATAATATTTATATAAAAAATAATAATATAAAAAAATCATATAAAAATTCAATGTTTATTGTTAGAATACAATATTTAAAAATAATTTAAAAGAATTAAATCTATTTCCTATAAATCCCATTTACCTTTTCTTATCCTTCTTTCGTTTTCGTTTTAATGCATTAATATTATTCCCCTATCCTTTATTATTCAATTCATTATCCTATTGCTATCGTATTATATATATTATTTCATAGAATAATAATGTTAAAATAGATTAAAATTACCAAGCCGCCGAAATTTTAATATATAAAATTATCCAATAATACACAAACATCTCCTTACCATCGCTTCATTTACCACTTCTACTTCTCTAATTCTCCTCTTAGCCGAAATCAACGACAAAAAAAATAATCCTTCAATAAACATATACATCCAAAAATCAATATTAAATAGATATTCAAATGCATATTATATATTAACAAAATAATCAATATCTAAATTTATATATATATTATTAATTATAAATATATATATATATATTTCATTTCATTATTCGGAAGTCGGGAGATCTATTCGTCGAAAGCTACATACGCGAAAAACCACTACGGTTTCAAACCAACTAAAGGCCCAAATATCATTCCCAAAGACTAACAAAATTGCAAATTAAATATCAACAACAATTTCGATTAAATCAAAAAAGATTTTACGATTCAATTCATTATACGACAAATCGATAAACGCCACCATAAGTTCGTAAAGAAATTAACATAAATCATCCAAATTACATAATTATCTTCGTATATAATATTATCTATCACTAAAATCGTCCATAACGAGATTTCGTCATCGCCAAATAATTTCAAGGCCTACAAATTAATCAACAATTAAAAATAAAACCAATATAATATAATTTAATAATATATATACATAATCGGAAACACATTATATACCCTAGCCCTCCACGGCTGAGGTTAAACCCCAACCATCCAAACAGACCAAGTTAAACGCCAACTCCAGTTGATCCGTTCCAGACCAAGTTTTTTATCATCCAAACCATTGCAATGATATATTATCTCTTTTCTCCTGTGCGCTCTGCCGCTCTTGCGTATTTTCACGCATCTAACGCAGCCAAGACTTCCTCTGGTTTCTTAACCTTTGGATTTTCTTTCTCATGGCATAAAGTCTCAAGCGGCCCACTTTGGACATCCATTCTTCAAAATTTTGGCGAGGAGCACGTAATGACAATCCTGGCACTTGAGGAGTGAAAAATAGTGAAAAGAAACAAGGGGAAATGGGAATCAGATCCTAAGCGTCTGGCGCTTCAGGACTCCCATAGAGTCTTCTTCATGAAAACAATGGCTGTATCTTGTGTTGGTACCTCACCAGCACATTGCATGTCGCCAGAACTGGGTTGGGTGCATAGACCCACATCAAAACCAAGGAACGCAGTGCTTTTGCCCGAGCTAGCTGGTGAAGCATGGCCTGAACATTGACCCCCCAAAAGTGTTCTAAATGAATGCATGCATGCAGCAAACCACCATCTTTAGGCAAGGGGCATGGAACTTGGGTCGCAGGATCCAGGCAACATGCCCCATCCTCCAGAAAGGTACTGCATGCTATATATGAACACTTATCATGTAAGCGCATGTAAGCATGCTGCTGACTGACACCCGCCTGAAACTCTGCAAAGACAAGATCCGGTAACACTTCAGGAATTTGAAGCCATGGTTGAAGATCTGATCAGCCCGATTTCTGTGCCTGAAGTGACACGCTACGAACATGCTACTGCTACAGCTGTGTGTCGCTAGATCCGGCGCTATGCTACCATGGGGCACTTTCCTTGGAGTACGCTCCATCAATCCAAACCACGATGCCAGTGAGTGCCTGGGCAAGAATATGGAGCGGTTCGGGCTCGGCCTAGAATGTTTTTTCAACATAAAACACCACATTAGTTAGTGGCGAATGGCAAAGCAACGATTTGTACTACAAGACGTGGATCTGGTTCTGGCACAGGATTCCCAGCATTGATTTGGTCTCGAAGCCATTTGCCAGCGACCCTACCATTTACTGGCACCTGGGTATCAATATCTTTCAAGCGAAGGGAAACGTCCAAGATCCATTCCAAAACGATACGCCCATTGGCCGCTTTGGCCAACAAGTGGTGTCCATGGACCGGCTTCCAAACCTCAAAAGATAAGGCGATGCAACAGACCAAAACATTTCATATATGGCCTACAAGAACACTGCATGTAGGCGACCCTTTCTCTAAAATTTGCTACAAACAAACATGGAGAGGGAACCCGACAAATTATACCATTAAAGCTGCAACAACTTTGGCGGGAGTGAATCTCCTTTGGCTGCACGAGATTCTAAGCAGGCGTCGCCACGTCTGGAAATCTTGGAACGCTATGTTCAATAGGTAGGCCAAGTCATGACTAGGATCTCCAAACATACCACTAAATACCAAGGCCATCCTGAAATGACTTCGATTCTTGTATATTTAATTAAGGCCTCAAAAGCCACGTCAAGAAAGCAAGTTCTAGCCACGTTTCAGCAAACTGCCGTTAGCAGTCTGGAGAATCCCCAAGTTGCAGTTGTGCGTAGAGCACGGCTGGAGCATGTAGGGCCCGAACTCCCTGAGGAGTATATAGGGGCCTAAGTCGATATAGCTATCGAATCCACCTCTACCCTTTTAGATGAACATTGGCACGCTTTTGCAGATTAGGGGCTGCAAATTCCTCCCTTCAACTTTGTGTTGATGAACTTCACAGTGCTAACCTCTTCTTCACTGTACCGGTGCAAATGGTAGAATGCATTCTGCCCTGCTCTAGACTCAGCATCGCATAGATAGCACACAGGTATTGAGTTCCATGCGGGGTACAAGTTCATCACCTTTCTGTGCCAACTCCAGTCTCCTTTGATTTCCATGACAACATGTTTGGTGTGATCCTGGCAGATCCATTCTCCAGCACGGTGCTGATCTTTCTTCCCAAGCTGCTCGCCGTATGGTCCACGGCTTGGTCTGAGGCCGTCGAAGCACAAGTTGCAGCTCCATACGATCCGTGCCATGATGGGAAAGAGGGTTTGCGTCCCCACGACGAGGTGTGTTCGAATCGCACATAAAAGGTAGTGTGCTTGTCTGATTCTCTTCGGGCGAAATTGCACAAATGAAAGCCAGATTCCAGTGCATGATTCTCCGGTGGCAAAAGTAGCCTCATCACCATATAGAGCCATCGGGATATGTTCATCCGATGCTTGGTGGTTTTGGAAGTACGGAATGCCACTACTCCGAAGATAAGTCC